TCTGGACCCTTAATTCAGATGTGACAGATACCTGTATCACCAGGCTCAGTAACTCCTTTATAAAAATCAGCAGCAGTTGTCACTGCGGACACTTGAAGGCTGTTTACCTCACTCCAGTGCCTTCTATCCGTCCTCACTAACTATGTCTCCACCAGGGTGGTCTAGAGTTACCATCATTACCCTTATGGTCCACTGCAATCCTTGTGTGGTTGTGGGTTGTTGGCATAGCAGCTTTAGAGTCACCAGTGCAGCTGGGGAGGGTAATAACTTATTAAACTGGACTTAGGGGCCTCCCACCATCCCTCTTTTCCTTTCTTTTCCCTTCCTCCCTCCCTCTCTCCCTCCTTCTTCCTTCCTTCCTTCCCTCCTTCCCTCCCTCCCTCCCTCCCTCCCTCCTTCCTTCCTTCCTTCCTTCTTCTCTCCTCTTTCTCCCTTCCATCTCCCTTGTTCTTTTCTTTATAGAAACACACTCTGCCTTCAACTGTTCCTTATCACTGTCCAGATGATAAATATTTTCCTTTAGTTCCAAGATTTTCTTTGGTGTTTAGAATTATCTTTCCAAACCTTAGATTTCTATGGGGATTTGTTTTTAGCCTTTCAAAGTCACAGGTTTGTTTGGGAAAAATAGAAGCATAGCAATACAAAATTTACTTTACCCTTCAGCACTATTCATTGTTTATAGTTGGTAAAAATGTACCGTTTCCTTAAACAATCATTTTAAAATGTGTAAGTCTTGAACAAATAATTCTTTGTTGGTTATACTTTTTGCCCTTGCAGCTTGCATTATGCCTTCAAGAAAATGGTCTCTATAAGACATTAAATTTCTTGAGACACATAGTATGTAACATACTACAATCATTATGATCAGAGAAGAAATAGCTATTTTCATACTGATGAAAAAGTCCACAGGGAACAAATGCCTTTAGCAATGTAATTGTGAACACTGACATCTCAGTCAAGATAACGTTTTTATCCCTCTAAGGTGGGATTATCTGACACAGAATACTTTTATTTTTGGTCGGCAAAGCATTATGAGTCACCTCCTGAAGATAGATAGAGAAATATACACATTGAGTTCCACACATGGCATGATTTTTATTGAAGAGAATACTCTTTGAATTACTATTTTATTTATTTATATTCTAAGTCTCCAGATCCTCTGGAAAATTGATCCCATATTAAACACTAGTGTATACTACATGAACATTTTTCTTTAAAGTTAGTATAAACTTAAAACAGATTACCTCATTTTCCAGATTAAATCTTCCTTAACTTTTTTCTTTAAATCTGAACTGGACTAGAGCTGTCATTTAAAAAATTTTACCCAATTAAATCAAAGTTTTTAAAATTGTATCAGCAATGTTGATTTTAAAACTTAAAGGTCAAATGTTGAATGTAATGAGGTTCGGGATCTTAAATATTCATTATTTGTTATCCAACCTTCCCCCTCAAAATGTTAATTACTTGGGCTGGGGATTTAGCTCAGTGGTTCTGGTGCCTGCCGTGAAAGCACAAGGTCCCGAGTTCAATCCCCAGTACCAAAAACAAACAACAACAAAAAATGTTAATTACTTGAAAATCTCCAAACATAACATTATGTTTCAAGTGATAGCTTCTTGCCCTGAAATGAAGTATATTTTCTAGGTAACTATTCGAGAGAGGCTTTAATTACATCATCATGTGTTTATAGCTTCTTGTTAGAACAGGTGCCAGACTGTATTATGAAAAATGTCTGGCGCACGGAAATGGTATAGTAAAACAGTTAAAAATGTAAATGAATGAGTCAGACTACCTGTGCTCAAATATTGCTCTTTTTTTCTACCTGGTTGACTTTGAACAGATTCCCACACCATTTGTATATTAATGTCCTTATTTTAATTGCATTTGCTATAAAAAAGTTGTTTGGACAATTAAATGAGCTAATTCGTACTAAAAACAGTGCTAGGCAGAGTGGACAAATACTACTGGAATCATTATTATATAAATGTAGCTATTATTATATTGCAAAATAATAATTTTTTTGTGCTTCATATTATTATTTTATAGGCTCTCAATCTATGTGTAGTTGTGGAAAAAAAACATTCTTTAAGTTTTTCCATTACATTGAAATGAATAGAGCACTTTATGGAATACTCGTAAAGATTTGAAATTGCTTTTATTTTTCAGATAAGCCCTTTTCCTGCAAGATGATCCAGGATGGTGACTGCCTGGCCATGGCGGAGATGTTTCAAGGCTGAGGATTACAGTTTCGCTATTCTGTTGTGAACAGAACCTGGGTCCATAACTCAGAGTCAAAGACGGGAAGAGCAGAAACTGAGATCTGTAAGTCAAAGAATCCCGGCCCCTCTAAGGAAGCCCCAAAGCCAAACAAGAATCTGGAGAGCCAGAAGAAGAAAATGCAATGAGTAAGAAGTCCACAGTTCTCACTGGGGCATGTCCTGTGTCAGATCTCATTCCTCGTGTAGAAAGGGCTGGGCCTGCCCTGGGCCCTAGTACCACCCCATGTTCTATTCTTACTGGACCCCTTAGACTACACCCAACCTAGCCAGAATCCTATTCTAAGCTTAGGTACACACCAAAGATGATATACCCTACTTTAAAAGAACCACAGCTGACATTTACAAATTTGTGTAAAAATTAAAAAAAAAAAACCTCCCTCAGTAACAAAAAGATAAAACAAACACAAATGCTGTCTGACAACAACATAGCTATCAGAACACAACCTCAAGGAAAAATTATCAGCAGAAATACAGATGTAGAGGCCATGGCAGATACTGCAGCATCTAGTGATAGCTAGACCTAGCAGAGATTACCCAGGGGATGGGATAAAGAAACCAAAATAATGGAATGAATGTCAAATCAATCAAATTGCTTCTATCTGAATGAGTCATCTCCAGAAGACCACCTTTATTTGACTGGCATCTTCCCCCCAGGGCATAGGATATCCTAGCTTAATCTGAGCAGCAGCAGCTGATTGGCTGAAAGTGAGACCCAGTTCTGTGAGCAGGATTGCTCTTCAGGGACCTTAGCAAAGGGCTGGAGAATAATGACAGCCTGTGCTTTTTTTAGGCACACCATGAAGGGAATCCGCAGCTGGCATCTCATCTCTCTTTGACAGGGTTTCCCAGGTTTACTGAGGAAAGAGATCACATTTCATGGAAGGCCTCCAGAGAATGTTTCTGCTTAAGGTATTAGGATTTAGATATAGAATCTTGGTGTTATTTAATAAGAACTGACTTTTAAATACTTAATATAAAATGATATGCAAATGTAATAAAAGTGTGTTCTAAAACATTTAAGACTTTAATCTATTGCCTTATGCGTCATGCTCAAAGAATAGTAGAAAGATGCCCCTTTATTTAAGTCTTTATTGCTTGAAGCTGCAACAGAAATGAATTCTAACTGTATTATAATGTACAGATACACACTGAGTGAGAATTATTAGGAAATAGAAAATATTCCAGTAGGGCCTATATGGATGAAGAGGTGGTTAACTTCTAAAAAATATTAACACCAAAGAGACTTGCTTAGATTTGCATGAACACATTTCAAAACTAGAAATAGTTATTTTTCCAGTATAATACTTGCACCATTTGAGTAATCATTTTTAAAATAAATAAAGTCAGCTTTCTCTGTCCATAGGTTCAGCATCTGTGGATTCAAACAATCAGATCAAAAGTATTTTAAAAATTGTTTCTGGCCGGGGATTTAGCTCAGTGGTTTTGCCACCTGCTACGCAAACGCAAGGACCCGAGTTCGATCCCCAGTACCCAAAAAAGAAAAAAAAGAAATGGGATAGTAAAAATTGTTTGTGTACTGGTCATACACAGATTTTTCATGTTGTCATTATTTCCTAAGCGATATACTATAGCAACTACTTACATAGCATTCACATCATATTAAGTATTAAAAGTAATATAGAAGTGATTGAAGTATACAAGAGGATTGTGGTAAGTTGTGTGGAAATACTATGCCATTTTGCATAAAGGACTTGGTATCCCCAGGGGATCCTGGAACCAGTCCCTGATATATACTAAGGGACAAGTGTACTATCTTTTTTCTCTTTTTAGAATCCATATCAATGGTTTTTTTATATACATATTTTTATATTCCTCATGTAAGTGAGATCAAATGCTATATATGGAATCTAAAAAAGTACATACCACTGAGATCGTGATTGTAAAGATGGCTACAAGAGGCGAGGCTTGGAGGCAGCGGGAGGGACGAGGAAAGGAGAGATGTCGATCAAAAGGTGAAATTTTCAATTAGACTGGAGAAGTAAGTTTCAGTGATCCATGGCACCACATGGTGACCACAGTTCATAATAAATAATGTATTGTACATTCCAAAGTTATTTAAAGAATAGATTTTTAACACTCTTACTACGAAATACTATGATGAAACCTGATAGATATGTTACCTACTCTTTTTTTTTTTTTTTTGGTACCGGGGATCAAACTCGGGACCTTGTGCTTGCGAGGCAGGTGGTGGAACCACTGAGCTAAATTCCTGGCCTGAGTGTGTGATAGATATGTTAATAAGCTAGGCTGAATTTTTCTACAATGTATTGATCAAAACATTACATTGTACCCTGTAATTTTTCATAAGTATTAGGTCAAGTAAAAATAAATTATTAAAAAATGCATGAAAATAATAAAATTGTACAAGTCATTCTCTAAGATAAGTGCATTTCTAAGTGGAAATAGAAGACAATATATTTACATCAACCATTTAAAACTTGATCAATCTTCTATGAACTGGGTCCTTTTTGAAAACATGACAAACATGCCATTCAAGACATAATATGATCTTCCCATAGATGTACTTGTATTAACACACACTGATGAATAATGAACAAATAGCTCCCACAGAATTCAAATATAGATCAAGCACTAAAGCAAAATGTCAGGACCTGTAGAACCTTCCAGTGATTCTTGTTGCTGTTTCTGTTGTTTTATAGACATGGAACTAATAGCCAATCTTTCCAGCACATTACTTACTGATGGGTAGAGGTAACCTTCTCCATTCATGGCTATATACAACCCTGTCTTCACGCCCTGGATGGCAACAACACGCAGTCCCACTGGGATGAGGTTGAACAGTGCTGTGAAGATAAACATGGACCAGTGTGAATGGGCAGGAAGCAGCCAAGCCTTACCATGACTTTTTTGTCTCTCATCTCTTTTACTTAAGAAACATCATCTTTGTTGCCACTTTTTGAGAAGTTCCAACCTAATAAGTTTTATTCCTCCTCATAACAAAGAAGATTCTGCTAAGTGTAAAATTAACACTTCACCTTCAGTTTGTAAATCTCCTCAGCAATCTCGCCTACCACCTTCTGAAAAGGTGCTGGGGTAATAAACAGAACCAAATCTGTCATCACGGCTCTAGTATCACAGTCTCTTGACACCATTAGACTCCCAAAGAAGTCAGCTGTGAAGATTCTCAGAGAGCTGAAGCTGAAGAGGCCAATGTTTATTCTGATCTTTCATAAAGGTGTGACTTGTTACTGCAATATAGTGTGGGCCAGGAGTGCAAAAGGTAATTCCAAAACTAAATTACTTTTGCAGAACCAATAAGACATGCAAGGAGGGCCAAGAAATGACGTGGACCTGCCAATAGGCTAAATTTAGAAAGAACTAATCAAGGTGAAAGGGATGTAAACTTTAGAGACACAATTTTCTTTATTAACATTTTATAGAACTCTGAATACATGTTAAAGTAAAAGGAGAAAAGAGTTGTTTTACCCACTTAATAGGTAAAATTCATTTATATTTCCATATTTTGTTTCTCCCCTTGTTAAAAACTGTTATTATACATTTTTTACATAGTGCAGATAGCAATGGTATAATTTATTTTTTAAAGATTAAAATTCCTATAGTGCATTTCCACGCCAGGGTACCTGTTCACTTAGTGAGTTTTGTAGCATGATTCGGGGTGGTAGCTGCTTGATGATTTTGGAGATTTTATTATAGATACATTTATAAGAGAATTGTTAATTATCCACGACGAACTTATCTTCTCCCTCTCAAGTTCCTCTCAACTCAAATCTAACTATGAGCAACAGGACCGGGCCAGAACAGGTATTAAAAACACTCACATTTCAATGAAGTAAATGTTGAAATAAAATATCTTAATTTTAGGATTTCAATTGTATTTCACAACAGTCAAATCACTTGCGATTTGGGTAAATTTGACTTCATTCTCAGTCTACTCAGTACATAACTAAAAACTGGCTCTATAAATTATGTTCTATTTTATCATCAGGGACATGTTTTCTCTTAATAAGGTGGAGAAAGTTACACCCTCTCTTTCAATGATTATACGTTGCTGTTTCCAAGGTCACAAGATGTCTGTACTCCAGTTCTAGAATGCCCAAACACTACCATCTTCCTTGTATTTCAAAAGGATGGGTAGGTACAAAGGAAAAATTCTTGATTCATGTGCAAACTTTTGACATAAAAACACAATCATATCTCTGTTTATCTAACATATTTTAACCTAACCAATTCAAACTTATTTTAAAATTCATATACTACTGATGGTATTTGTAGATGCCATATATTTGATATAAGCCAGAATGCTATATTTCTAGAAGGCAGGCGTATCATGCCCCTGCCAAAAAAATGTGGCATGAGAAGCAAAATTTCTAGAAGACAGTCTAAAGTATCCATACTTAATAGTACATTATTTTCCCAAGATTGTAGGGATTTGAATTATGAAAATCAAGTTAGAATTTACACTATGATAATAAAATATAGTCCATAAAACCATTGTAATATGAAGGACCTTCAGAGATGACCAGGATGAGTTTGTCCTTCTAGTCAAAGCCACAGGTACATTAGTTAAGGCATTATATTTTTCCATTCTCTGTGAATGTCATGTAATTATAAAGCAATGGCACAAAGCCTAGCTCAGTAAGAATAATGAAGATATTCCTAAAGCTTTGTTTATTCTGTAGAGTACTCTAGTCTCCATGCAAAAGAGATTTTCCATCTTGCTTGATCATTAAAACTGCCTATACTCATAAAATAAAATATCCAAGCCCAACCTCAGATCAATTAAATCTGAATCCCCAAGGCTGGGTTTGGGGTGTCAGAAAGATTTTTAAGAGCTTCTCAAATGAGCCTAACATACAATCCACATAAAATCTGGGATTCTAAAACCTATTGGGTGGTCTGACAATTGTCATACATTAAGTTACCAGGCTCAGAATTTGTAGAGTGAGAGGGATTGGTTTTTCTTTTTTTTTTTTGGTTTTTCAAGGTTTTAACATTACCAGGGACATTACAGTACATTGATATCTATACAGTCCTAACCTACTTGCAGCAGCTATTAAATCTGGTAGTGGGAACAATGAAGTGAAGTTTAAGAATACAGGAAAAAAAATGTTATCACCAACAATAGATCAGGAGGAAGGAAAAAATGCTCCTTAATAAATATGGTAGTTGGTAGTAATGCTGACATTTAGTTGAATTGTAAAGGCATTCCCACAACTTTGGAAATGAATATGGCGATGGGGTCATCTGTGAGGCCACTTCCTGTGTGAAGATCTTTTTAGGACACATGGAAGCCAACATTAAGCAGCCAAGTAGCTTCCCCATGGGCCCATTCCCCCATCCTCAGTCATTTTCTTGCCATTTTTCCTTCCTAGGAGAGTCAGTGGGCCCAGTCAGCGGTCCCTTCTACCTCTCAATACATCTCAACTTTTTCGCAAGGGTAGATTAGTAGGGTGCTACAGATTGTTTTTTCTAAATAATCCCATAGCCAGTGGGAAATGCATTTTCATGGTGTATTAGACTCGTGTGTTGAACACAAAGATTTGAAGGTCCAAACTTCAATGCTATCATTTGATGACTTAGGTGACAGAAGAGTGAGTTGCAGGTTACTTCTCATTATTTTTCCTATTGATGGATGGCTTGTGTTCAGATTGTTTTTTTAAAAAAAAGTGTATTTATAAATTATTACATCAGTCCCCATCTGAAATCAAAAGGGCTGTACACTAACTCGTACTTGGATGCTTCCCTCTTGAGAAAAACTTGCTAATTCTGTCAGTATAGAAATGTCAAGATTTCTAATGAATAACATTTTAGTACTAAAAAAAATCTTTTCAGTGCTAACAATTTTCCTAAGACTCTGAAGACTACCATAATTAACAATGAAGAAAAATAATCTAAAATTCACCCTAAAAATGATGTTCTTCAATTTAAAAAGGTGATAGTACACAAAAGTGGAGTTAATTAGCAACTTCCCATGCTTTTACAAATCTGATTTAATTCTGGCAATTTCTATTAAATTTTATAATTATACAATTTGTACAGCCTTCTGAGCAAAAAAAACACAAAAACCCAAAAAACACCCTTTATCTTAGCCTCTATATGTCTTTGCAAATGTTGAAACAGTAACAAAACAAAGTTGAAGTGCACGTAAAATGCAAAATCATGTCTAAGAAAAGAAGCATTGCACCAGATCTTTGCGTAGGAATTAAAGTTCCTGAAGTGGGCGCCATGATTTCGTTCTCATTTGCTCTCCTGCAGGTACTGCCATCCTGTCGTGTTCTTGGGACTGTTCCTCACCAGCATTCATAGGGCAGAGGGACTTTCCAGAGTTCCCTAGTTATTCTGGCTCCTTCCTGTGCAGACACGGGATAGGAGGAACGAGCCCCATGTATTCAGAGAACAGGAAGTGGAGTATCTTTCTGTATCTCAGCTCTCCACTCGAGTGTCTAATATTCTTCTGATAACAAGACTGGATGTGTGTGTGTGTGTGTGTG